TCGATGTCGTCGACAGGCCTGCTTGGTATTCCGTTCTCGTCCGGAGGCATAATTGGCCGCCAACTGGCGACGCTCCTCCGGGTATCGCGAAGACAAGAAATTATTCTTTAATTAATTGTCAGCGCTCAATGTGACCGCATGCGTAGGATCGGTCGGCCTCGTACATAAATTTCATCTATATGGGAGCGGCGATCGGTGCGCGTGTAACAGGAGAGGCTCTCCTCTTGGCGATAGAGGCAGCCCCGGATGAGAGCGGAGGAGCGAGCAAGAGGACGAGCTGAGGACGGTGTTGAACAAAGAGAGAAGGGAGCAGCCGAGAGAGCTTCCGATCCGCGGACGTAGCAAATACCTGGCGCCTGTTTGTAAACCCTTTAACGGTAAATCGTCGTTCTAGAGGGTCGCTGTTTGCGCGTTTGCTCGCCTTCTTTTCACCTCGACCCTCCTCCTCTGTCACCCTCTCGTCCTCGGCCTCGTTGCCACTCCGCAGATTTCTCTGAATACTCCACGCACGGTTCGAGGCTGAGAAGAATGTCGGCAGTTACGAGACAAATATTTCGTTCGTCCCCTTTGCAATCGGGATTTCGTTTACTTATTTAGAACGTAAAGATCACTCGCTTCATCTTTAAATAACTATCAACAGTCAAGTAGCACATGGCTTGGTACTTTCGTAATGTCGAATCGACAAAATACAGTGGCAAATAAAATCCTCGATATGTAGATACTTGCAAATAACTTTTAAATTACCCGTCGAACGAGCAATTGTTTCATACAAAAGTTGTATGTGAAAATTTCAAGCAAGGCAAAATCAACTGTTTAAGTTTCTGTGTGCGTCGATAGGTTTCGAAATTTCCAAGCTCGTCTTTATTTTTTTTCTTTAATTAGACCACGTACTTTTTCTCAATCATTCTTTCAACTTGCACTATGTGGAGGATTATCCACGCGATCTCTAACAGTAGATTCGTGCCAGCGGGATGATTTTCGACCGAAGAATGGAGTTCCGTACAAAGTCGGGGAAAATCGGTTCACCGTGGCATCGTCCGCCTTGATTTTCGTGCCTTCTGGTCACAACACCATTGACGAATACTCTGACTCGGTGTCTCTCTTGGATTCGCCAAGGTTTTCGCTTACAGATCGCGATCGACGCCATTAAAAGGTTAGAAGAAACGCGCGTGTTAGGCTCGTGAGGGTTGTAAAGAGACGGAGCTTCGCGAGAGGTGAAATGGCGAGCAACTT